CCGCGAAGGAGCCGGGGCGGGGCCGCGTGAGAGCAGGCGGCGGGGCCGCGTAAGGGCCTGGGCGGGGCCGCGACAAAGCCGTCGGCGGGGCCGCGTGAAAGCCGGGGCGGGGCCGCGTAGAAGCCGGGGCGGGGCCGCTCGAGAGCAGGCGGCGGGGCCGCGAAGGAGCCGGGGCGGGGCCGCGTGAGAGCAGGCGGCGGGGCCGCGTAAAGGCCGGGGCGGGGCCGCGACAGAGCCTGCTGCGGGGCCGCGTGAGAGCCGGCGACGGGGCCGCGTAAGGGCCGGCGGCGGAGCCCCGTCAAAGAGGGCGGCGGGGCCGCGACAGTGAAGGCGGCGGGGCCGCAGGGGAAATGGCGACCCGAGGGGTCGCTAAAAAAAAAAGATCGCGCCTCGGGGGGCGCTTCGGTGGGCCCAAAAAAAACGGTCCGTAGAAGGACCCGCTCTATACCATGTGAGAATAAGCGAACAGGAATGAATGAACTAGAAGTGAAAATGAGTACAAGTAGTAAACCCTAGAACTGTGTACCCCCTATAGGCTAACCCACTGTAGCCTACACAAGCATAACATATATAATGTTTGACAATCCTCCCTTCCGCAAGCGTACACTCTCCTTCTCTGCGCCTCTCCTCCATTGAGCGTACCCTCTCATGCCCCGCTGCTCCTCTCTTCCATTGTGTGTGCACTCTCTTTCCCCTCCGCGCCGTTCGCATTTTGTCCCCATCATCTCCTCCTGTGCGTATACTATCACATACACCGCTGCTCCTCTCCTCCCTTGCGCCTTCTCTCTCCCTACCACCCGCTCCTCCTTTTCCATGAGCCCTCCCTCTCATTCCCCTCTCATTCTCTCATTCCATGCGCCATCCCTCTCCTTCCCCTCTCATTCCCCTCTCAAAATCTCATTCTGTGCGCCTTCAATCTCATTCCCCTCTCATTCTATCATTCCGTGCGCCTTCACTCTCATTCCCCTCTCATTCTCTCATTCTGTGCGCCTTCACTCTAATTCCCCTCTCATTCTCTCATTCCGTGCGCCTTCACTCTCATTCCCCTCTCATTCTCTCATTCCGTGCGCCTTCACTCTCATTCCCCTCTCATTCTCTCATTCCGTGCGCCTTCACTCTCATTCTCTCATTCCGTGCGCCATCCCTCTCATTCCCCTCTCATTCTCTCATTCCGTGCGTCATCCCTCTCATTCCCCTCTCATTCTCTCATTCTGTGCGCCTTCACTCTCCTTCCCTCTCATTCTCTATTAGGATGTGCCTTCCCTCTCATTCCCCTCTCACTCTCTCATTCCGTGCGCCTTCACTCTCATTCCCCTCTCATTCTCTCATTCCGTGCACCTTCACTCTCCTTCCCCTCTCATTCTCTCTTAGGGTGTGCCTTCCCTCTTGTTCCCCTCTCACTCTATCATTCCGTGCGCCTTCACTCTCATTCCCCTCTCATTCTCTCATTCTGTGTGCCTTCACTCTCATTCCCCTCTCATTCTCTCATTCTGTGCGCCTTCACTCTCATTCCCCTCTCACTCTCTCATTCCGTGCGCCTTCACTCTCATTCCCCTCTCATTCTCTCATTCCGTGCACCTTCACTCTCCTTCCCCTCTCATTCTCTCTTAGGGTGTGCTTTCCCTCTCATTCCCCTCTCACTCTCTCATTCCGTGCGCCTTCACTCTCCTTCCCCTCCCATTCTCTCATTCCTTGCGCCTTCATTCACATTCCCCTCTACTCCTCTTCTCATGTGCGCGTTCTCTCGTCCCCCTCTGGTTCACTCCTCACGTGCACGATCTCTCTCGTAACCCTCTATTCTGCTCTCATTCCTTGCTCTCACTTGTCCCACCCTCCATTCCGCGCCTCGCCCCCATTCCTCGTGACATGTCCTGAGTTTCCTCTCATGCGAGTTTGTCCCATTCCCCTCTGCTCCGCTCCTCCCGTGCGCATGCTCTCTCTTTCCCCTCTGCGCCTATCCGCCCATGCACAATTTGTCTTTTTCCCCTCTGCTCCTCTCCCCCCTTTGCGCCTTCTCGCTCGCTCCCCTATGAATCTCTTCTCCAGTGCGCCCTCTCTCTCTTCCCTCTGTTTCTCTTCTAGTGTGCACTCTTTCTCTTGTTCCTGTTTGTTTCTATTATCATGTGCGCCTACACACGCATCCCCACCTGTTAATCTTCTCTAGTTCTCCGTCTCCATCACTCCTCTCTGTTTCTCTCCTCCAGTGCACCTTCTCTCTCCCGTACGCTCGTCCTCGCTATGCTCCGTTGCATCCTACCCCTTTCATCCTATGCTTGTATTCTCTAGTTCCCCGTTCATCCTGTGATTGTATTTGCTGGTTTTCCCCTTCCCCATCATCTCATATGCTTGTCTTCTCAGGTTTCGGCCTTCCACTGGCCTCTTATGCTTGTATTCTCTGGTTTCCCTTTTCCCCTCCCCACCTATGCATGAATTCTCTGATTTCCCCTTTCCCCTCCCCTCATATGCATGTATTCTCTGGTTTCCCCTTTCCCCTCCCCTCAAATGCATGTATTCTCTGGTTTCCCCCTTCCCCTCCCCTCATATGCATGTATTCTCTGGTTTCCCCCTGCCCCCGCCCTTCAAGTTGCTTGTCTTCTCTAATTTCCCCTTCCCCTGCCCTCCTAAGCTTGTCTTCTCTTGTTTCTCCCTTCTCCTGTCCTCGTAAGCCTTTCTTCCCTCTCCTCCCCCTTCCCCCGCCCTTCAAGTCTTGTCTTCTCCCGTCTCCCCCTTCTCCCCTACTCCCAAAATTCTGGCAGGTGTCATTTTTCTGCCCAAGATGTTGTCTCTATGCATTCGACACTCGATCGGGTTTGGGACGCCACATGCAGAGCAACTCCTGCCCTGCAAACCTCATTAGCAGTAGCGAGCAGCTGCAGGGCCCCAAGCGTGCAAGGTCGAGCTTCATCCCTCCTAATCCCATTCCGCGTGCAGTACTTAGGTTGGAGCCTGTGCATGCAAATGTAGGAACGGGTGTTGCGGAAGATGTGTGTATTGATGTACCTCCTATTTCTCGTGCTGATCCAACAGACACTAGTGATACTTCCTCATCCTCTGATTCAGTAGATAGCGCGCTGCCCTTTGAACAAGAGGACGATGCGTCTAGTAACGCTGCTGTATCTGGTGCTGATGATGATGGTGGGGAGGGAGCTCAAGCAGGTGTTGCACTGGAGGAAGAGGAAGATGCCCCTCAGTTTAACCTCAAGGATGCTCTTGCGCACTAGATCCTCTCCAACCAACTCTCTATCAGTCAGATTAACGTTCTGTTGGAAATCCTGCGCAAGACCATTCTTGAAATACAAGATTGGAAGTCCTACCGAGACGTGCAGGTGTACGCTGAGTCTAGGGCGACGGATGGCCACTGAGGTTGGCGACGAAAGACCATCCGGTCATGTAACAAGGCTTGGCTGGAGTATTGGTATTGTGATCCGTTGATTGCTCTGCAGGACCTGTTGAAGAACCCCAAGCTGGCTGCCAAGATGGTGTTCCATGCAGATCCTCAATATGTGGGGAACGTGAGGGTGTACAGTACCCCCGAGACAGGCCTATGGTGGGAGAGGTTGCAAACTTTGGTGCGGGAGGAGGATCCGGATGGAGTTGTGGCTGCTTTGATCCTTGCGGGTGACGAGACGCATATGGATCATAGAGGGAAGGCGAAGGGTCATCCTGTGTATCTCACGTTGGGTAACATTGATAAGGACGACAGGTGGCAACCCTTTGGGCATGTGCTACTAGCACAGCTCCCTGAGTTTCTGCAGAGTACAACGTAGGGGACAAGATGCAAGTCCACAATTACATCATGCGAGAGGTGCTGCAATCTCTTAAGACGGCATCCTACACCGGCATAGCTATGAAGAATGCTCCAGGCGAGTCAATCAATGTGTGGCCCTATTTGTACGCTTATGTGTCGGACTACCCAGAGTCGTGCAAGATCACGTGCACAAAATCCTTGGGTACTTTGTTTCCGTGTTCAATTTGCAAGGTGGACAAAAAGCACTTGGCAGTGCTGCAGGATCGTATCCAAGCTCGTACACCATTCGAGCAGGACACCATTGTGCGAGACATCTTAGAAGGCCGGCTCGCACTAGATGCGGAGGCAACCTTCTCCACCCACCCTGTGCAGGTATAGTATGTTGTGGGTGCTGTTTTAGGGTCATTCTATGGGCTATACCATGTGCAGAACTAACCTCTAGGTGCTGGTTCTGGTTTTTGCAGAGTTTCCTAGGTGGCTGGAGGTGGGAGTCCGACACCATTCTCAACCCGTACCTTGCGGTGCTGCTCGATGTGATGCACCAAGCAGATTTGGGCCTTTTCGAGCACATTGTCGACTTAATTCGCACGCATGTGCAGTTACTGGCAGATAGAAAGAAGTTGGACAGAATCCTTAGGTACTACAAGAGAAGTATTAGAGGGGGGAACATGCGTTTACCCGCGGGTCAGTACTTCAAAAAGGGGGCGAACTATCAAGCATACGAACACCAGTCGGTCATGCAGATTCTGCCCTTTATCGTGAAGGGTTTTATTACGCAGCCGCAGATGGACGCACTCGTCTCATACATCGAGTGGTACCTCGAGTGTGCGCGGGCATCGGAACACACCGACACCTCCCTTCTTGAGTTCAAGACAAAGGCACACCGGTGGATGTATAGTTCACAGTGTGTTGCGTTCATTCTCCGACTGCTTGCTAAATATTGATCGACATGTTTTGGCCTATACGCAGGATGTTACACAACCTCAAGACTGCATTCCCGCACACGTCGGATTGGAACTTCATTAAGATGCACCTCATCAGTCACTACATAGACTCCATTCGTGGGTCGGGCTTGCCCGAGCATTGTTCTGCACAACTATACGAGCATCTGCACATAGAGTACATAAAAAACCCTTACCAGGCATCAAATAAACGGTCTGTCAATAGCCAAATCGTCGGCAGCGAAGAGGCACGGCTTCGTCTTCAGTATATCGCGCCACAACTCATGGCGAAGAAGAAGTATGACACCGCCATGGTGAAGGTAAGAACTAGACTTATGTGTATGGTTCTTGATTATTTCCATCGAACATGGAATACACGTAACGAGATGATGGTGGTGTTCCATGCCTGCAGGCCCAACGGACAGGCGAGCGGGTTCTATCCAAGAGGAGTTGGGCATTGCACGTGCCAGAAATACGTGTTGGAGCCCCATACCCTCAGGTACCGGATGCGAAGCGTGATGGCCCGTTGCGGGCCATCATCGGCGAGGAGTTGAAACACTTGCATGCGGCATTGGATAGGGCACCTGGCTATGACGGCAATGGGGAAGCTATCAAGGAAGTACATGTATGTACGACGTCCATTCCTGCCCCGTCGTAGCTTTTGTAATCGTACCCAAACAATCTGACTCTTCTGGTTGACGGTGCCTTTGCAGGTCCACTGGGAACTCGCCATGCCAGCTGCGGTTGATGCGCAGTATAGTCGCCTGCCGCACCGCATCCGCGCCCTGCCCATGCACCACGGTCGTCAATGGTTTTCTGATGTGGCGGTCAAAGGTGAGGGCTCAGACGGGGACGAGGAGTGGTTTGCGAAAACCCTTCTGTTGTTTCATGCCAAGGTTGCGGGCACGGTTAAAAACTATGCATTCGTCAAGTACTACAGGGAACAGGCCAGCATTGATGCAGCCGCCAAGTGCAAGGTTTTGCACTGGGAGGGAGTTAATCAGAGGTACTGAGTAATTAGTATTGATAGCATCAAGCGCGCGGTACAGTTAGTGCGACCGGACAAAGACGCTGAAAAGTGGTTCGTTAATAGGTTTGCATGGTGAAAACTTCATACTGGGTAGTATATTTAAGTGGCCTGGCAGGCAAACAAAGCCATCTAGGTTGCCTTAGCCTTTTAAGAGTCAAATACTTCAATCTGTAATTTATATTACGTTCCCAATTCGTTTGCAGTCAGTACCAGGCAGCATACTTTGTCCCGCTTCCTCATTATTAAGTCACCATCGATGCAATGAAAGCTGCCACACGCGACAACGTCAGACAAGGATAACTGCCTCGCGTTGCACACTGTGGGGTGCACCTGAATGTGGATGGCGGTGTCGCATTAGTCGGTCGAAATCTTCCCGTTGCTAACACAGATGGTGGCAGCTTCCGATTGGTTCATTCTGCGGCAATAACAGTCGTGTTGGCAGCACGATAGTCGAATTTGAGACACATTCAAGCATTTTCTCCAGCTACGTGCCACACTGCGCGCCGCACACGCGTGACATCAGCTCTGTTGGAGTCGAGGTCTGCGCGGTGGCGACGTTTGTCTCACCTGCACCTTTCGAAGTGGTGCTTGTACGAGATGGAAAATTTTAGTTGTAAACTAACTGCTTGACTGCGACTGTGGTTGTTCCATTTGCTTTCGAGTAAATATCAAACAAGTTCGTGTTTGACGCGCAACTGTGACTTCAACACTTTTTTCGTTCACGCCGCGCTAGATCACTACATTTTGAAATATCATAGTTTCATAGCATAGTTTATGGGTGTGTTTTTTAGTTTAGGCACATTAATTCACATATATGCATGTTACCTTACTTCCTCGTTTGCCGAATCAAAGTTCACAGTAACATTTTCCGGGAAAAGGCATGGGAAATAATGGACATATGGGGTTGAGAAGTCGCAAACATTCACTGTGTCGCTAAAAATGTCATATAATAAGCCGTGCAAAAAAAAAGCTCTTGGCTGGTTGCGTCATGGCATTTTCCCCATTTGGTATGTTTAACTGGTCGTCAACCATCACTATCCTCAAACCTATGGCTCAGAACGGGGGACAGTTAGTGCAGGCAGGCACCGGGAAAAGAGTTTTGCCAGATCCAGCAGGGGTCACCTTGCCCCACCCTCATTCTGCTCTCAATCTGCTCGATGCCTCTGCACTGTCACAGCTGGGAGATGACGTTCTTACAGAAGAGATTAAGAGGCGGCAGTTAGCTAAAGAGGCTGCCTTAAAAACAGCTGCAGTCAGCACTCTCCACGGCGCTCCCACGGTTGGTAAGACGGCAGCTGCAGGCCGTCGGGGCGGGTCTAAGAGGAAACGTGCTGCCGCCGGCTCTGGTGCGCGTGGTCGATCCTCTGGTGCGAATGGCAACATTCGTGCAGGCTCGCCATCCGCTAACAACCCTACCGCCGGCACTTCGTCAGAAGCAGAAGGCGCGAACCCTGCACCGGTGGCAGAAGCAATGGACACCACGCAAAACGGCGCACCAACCACAGGCGGCATAGTCTGTGGTATCGCGTCATGCGCAGATACTGGAGCTCTCCCTGCACCCCCCGTGCCTGCCGCCGGAGCCCCGGGTCTGATGATGGCAGAAGTGATTGAGGCCGCAGCGGAGGGCGGCGTGGATCCTTTCATCGCATACGACATCGAAGCTGGTAGCGACGACGAAGACGGGAACGACGACGATGCAGATGATGCGGACGGCGTCCAAGCGGGAAACGCCGATGAGTTGCGCGCAGCGGAGGTTCGCGCTGCGGAAGTGTGCGCGGCGGAGGTTCGGGCGGCGGAGGTTTGGGCGGCAGAGCTTCGGGCGACGGAGCTTCGGGCGGCGGAGATTCGAGCGGCGGAGATTCGAGCTACGGAGGTTCGCGCGGTGGAGGACCGCGCTGCGGCGGTTCGCGCGGCAGATGTGCGCTCTGCGGAGGCTCGCCAGACGGAGCTGGCGCCGCACACCTCGCAGCCTAATAACCCGGCAGTACCCGCTAGGCGTGAACGGTCGCAAGGTAAGCAAACGCAACACGCTCATAGCTACGGTGCCAGTTCTTGAATTGTTGCTCAACTCCATCCTACGTTTCCTCCCCCGGCCCCCCACTCGCCCCCTCCGCTAGCCAATGTGTTATGCATTTTATTTCTATGAGCTGAGCTCCGTTGTTCATTACGTCGGCTGGATGACTGTTTAATCGTTCTTTCCACTTGCTTGTTGTCTGCCTTTCTCGATACGTGTTATTCTCAGGGCTTGTCCCGTAGTTGCTGGTGCGCACCATTTCAGGGAAGCACGTCAGCTGGAGGCGCTATTGCGTGACCTGCAGAACACGGTCTCCACTCTGAACGCGCAGCTGCAGGAGGCAAGGGCCAGGATCAAGGCGGTGGAGGCTGAACGCGATAGTCTGAAAACGCAGTTGGAGTCGATGCAGCGACAGCTTTCAGCAGAAGTCGCTGGAACGAGCTCGGACGTGGGCGCCCTTCAGGACCCTTCTGACCCCCTGGTCCGAATGGAGAACGTCCGTAAGGACGTTGCGGGCAACCCGACCATTCCGTCATCAGTCAGCAGCGACGATGCATTCGATGTAAGTTAGTTAACCGAGGTGCCATTCTGCTAGTATGTACTTTCGGATGTGCTGTCCTTTTATGTCTTGCAAGTTCTATCTTTAAACCCGCCCCCAACCCTTCCTCTCGCTACCGCTCTCGGCCCGTCCACCACTTCCTTCTGTCCGTCTTTTGTGAGTCCCGTCCACAAACTTGTGTGTAGCATGTCCGGTGCCTGAAATTTAACCCCCTCATCACCCTTGTGCGTCCTTGTGTTGATTGTCAGGAAATGGTGGGTAAAACCTTCGCCTGGCTCATCACCCTTGCCCCTGCAGGAGAGATGGAGTTCTATCCTCTGTGGGAAGAATTCCAGCCGCATTTGGTGCGCAAGTACATAGCTGAGGGGACCACACAAGATGAATACTACCTCTTCATGGGCGGGAACAGCAAGCGCATTGATCGGGCGCTGAAGATGATTAGCTGCAAACGCGCGAACATGAACAAGCCGATCAAGCTCTGGGCGTGGGGTGCTGGTGGCGTCATTGACCAGGATAAGTGGTTCCTTTTGAAGGTTGGTGGCATCACTCCATCAAAGGCACGCAACGAAAAGGAGTGGGTGGAGCAGTTCAAACACCGTGAGTGTGCTTGTCTTTTCTCACATCCGCACCATGCTGGAATGTTCTTGCGCACAGATCTGATTGCCATTGTTTTTATCTCCGCAGCAAAATATGGCTACGACTGGCATTGCTCTGCTCAGAGCCGCCCTTTCGCGAATGCAGCCTTTGAGCTGGCAGTCAAAAAGGCATTTGTCAGTGCCCGGTGCAACATGTTTGCAGTGAAGATTCCAGCGGTCGGCTATCTGTGCAACGTGGTAAGATGTCACTTGTGTTATTTGATCCTGTTTGTTTCCCCCTGCATATTGTTCTTAACTTAAGCGCCTTTCATTGGTGGCAGGTTGAATGGCCATTGGAGAACCACAAGGGCAAGAAGGGCCATGCATCTCTGGACAACAATGAGACCAACAACCGCAACAACGTCCATGCCAAGACGAGGGTGGTTGCTGCCTGGCTGAAGGAAACCCTTGAAAGGGAGCCTGCTACGTTCAAGATCGATGAGCCCATGGGGTTTGAGATGGGCATTGGGAAAGTTAGGATTTTGATAGAGGGATATGAGCTGTTTTTCTTCCCCTCAGGGGTCGTTCCAACCCCCTGGCGTCCTATTAACAACCTGTGAATACTTTCTAAATGTAGTAGGTTTTTTTCTATTTAATGATTTTATGATGTAGAGTATTATGTAATCACTAACTTTGCAGAATTATATCATCCTTTTTATAGCATAGTCAATGCAGTTTTATATCAATGTAGCAATAACGTTAAAAAATATTGAGATCTGTTGCATACAATCACGTCACTTTATTTTCCACACCTATGACTATATTGAGTTGTTAATTTCCAGGAATACAACAAATTCCTCGATAGCTGAAATATTTAGTTTAGCTGGTTACAATTGAAAATTAATTGCTCAGGTAACCATATCGTAAACGCCAGCACATCTACCCAATTGTTCGTCGCAACGGTGTGTACCACCAGTTCCTGCCCTAAACCGATGTTGTTCCTACAGTCCACGTGGCCAATCGAAGCTCACACCTCGAGCTGATTTCGACCGCAACCTGCAGAATCCGTTCGTTGTTGCTGCGTCAACCACCACACAACCGACCGAAAAGTGGTTGTCAACCAGCGTTGACAGCACCACCTGTTTTGGGCAGATGACTGCCTCATTAACTAGGCAAACGAAACACGACAGTCAGCTCCCACGCTCCTTCACCTCCTCGACTGTTTACTGCCCCAAACTGGGCGGACATTTTTCTGATGTCTTTTGTCCCCGCTGTAAGCAGGTTGAGGCAGGACGGTGGCCCTTGTGGGCTCGGCGGCGCAGAGCGAGCAGCAGGTGCAGCAGCGAGTGGAGGAGTGGAGGCGACGGCAGGAGAAGGAACGGGGAAAAACATGATCAGAACGCAAGAGAATGTGGGAGGACGGAGCTCCGAGAGTAACGTCTCGAAGGGCAGACAAAGAGGGAAGGGACCTCAGGGCTGAAGCAACAGCTGTTTGGTGAAAGCCTGTGCGATGGTAAGTCGACCGCTAGAACCATAACCGCCCTGTTATCGTGATGCTCTCACCTATTTTCCGCCCCTTGTCTCTTCTCCCTTCAGCTCGCTCTCTCTCGACACTCTCTCGCCCTTCACCTTGCACTTTTGTCCAACATTCACCTCCTCGCTTCCTCCGGAATATTGAGCATGTGCCCCCCCTGCCCTGCAATGCGTTCCCGCCTCCCCGCTCCCATGCCCAGGCTTAAAGGGTAATAGCCCGAGCCTTGAACCACTGGGCATCCACGCGCTGAGCCTTGAAGGGGTATAGCCCTTGGTTCAAGTCTGCAGATGCGTCGACCGTCCATGTGTGACATCTGATCTGCCGTAAGTCCCTTGGCGGTCGGCCGGGATTGCAGCAATTCGGCGGTGAGAAGCAACAAGGGGGCCTCATTTCTATCGCAGACATTCCATCCTGTGCACTCAGTGTGTGACGTGACGGCCTTCCTTCTTTCTCCCCTACGGCTGCCATTCTCTGCCTTCATTATGCTACTGCTGCTTCCACTGTTCTCCACCCACTTGCTCCGGCTCCTATTCCCTCCCCCTATCCTCTATTCCTCTTGCTGCTCACTGTTCTCCACTTTCCCTTACTCCCACCGCGTTCTCCCATGCTGCAACCGCACACCTTCCATTGGTGCTATGCGTGAATGTGCATAGTGTGCGTGCCGCATATCTGGTGTGTCCATGGTGTGAGCATGGTATGCATGATGGCGTGTGTGGTGCTTACATGGTGTATGCATGACGTTTGTGGCACATACACCAGTGCACGGTAATGGTTGACTGGGATCGGAGGTACCTTCCTTTCATCCACACTCCACACTCCCCTTTCCGTCCTCTTCCCTCGCCCTACCCTTCCCCCTTTCCTCCCATACCATCCCCTTTCTCTCCTCTTCACCTCTCATTTCCCTAACCTTTCCCTCACCTTACCCTACCCTTTCCCTCCCCCTTTTCTCCCCTTTCCCACACCTTTCCCTCCCGTTCTCCCCCTTCCCCTCCTCTTGCCTTCCTCCTTCCCTCCCAAGCCAGGCGTGGCGGGAGTGTGGCAGAGCTGCGGAGCACAACCCCCATGTAGGAAAGCTCACTCCTGATTCATCTCCACAGGTTGCGACAGCTCTCCCTCTTTCTTCCCCTCCCCTTCCCCTCCTCCTCCATGCAACAGACCAGCCGTTGTGTTGGGAGTGGCGGTGCTGCTGAGCTGATCGGCACGCCCCTCATGGGGACATCATCCACACATCGGGGGACAAACTCCTTGGTCGGAATCAGCTCCAACGTGCTGGACCAGTCCAGATCGCGAGCCACTCACTCACTGCCTCTTGAAGACATGCCCCTCTGCCTCACCAGGGACAAACTCCTCGGAATCAGCTTCAGCCTGTCGAAGATCGAGAGCTAGTGCCCTTCTGCTCTCATGCTCACCTTGCTCCCATGCTCACCTTGATCCCATGCTCTCCTTGCTCCTATGGCCCACCTTTCTCCCATGCTCTCCTTGCTCCCATTCTCTCTGTGCTCCCTACCAATCGTTTCATGACGCCCATGAACTCTCCTCCTTGCCCTTGCTCCTGCCCTCTTGCATGCACACCCCCTCGAGGAGATTCTGGAGTTGTTGTGGGTGTACTGCAAGGCGGGCGGGAAGGGCACCAGAGATGCCACGGCGCGTGCCTTTGGCCTGTAGCAGCCTCCAGTGGGCCCGCTGGTTTAAGGTTGCCATGCCAGACGAGGCAAAGCCCAGAGGGTTTTTTGGGAAGTTTATGAGTCTTTTAAAATTTCTGTAGCACAAGTTGCGGTACACCTGCCCTGCCGCCTTTTAACAAAAATGATCTCTGCTACCTATGAATGACTTCGAAGGTCCACTACCGTACCCCGACACTGGAAAGCCTGAAAACAGATGTTCTGAATCTCAAGAATGATGGTGAGGTGATGGCACTACAGGCAGCAGGCCCTTACGGATCCAGATTTTTTCAAGACACTTCAATGAAAGCCACCAGGTACAGATCACACTCGTTCACTCACACCACTTTCCATTCCGCGGGTAGATGAATATTTTCAACAAACTACGGGATGATGATATCCTGACTTCCAATCGCCACACGAGGAAGATACCTCGTGAATCAACGAATCCAAGGCATTGCTGTTGCCTCGAATCCGAATCAAATGAGGCAGATTCATCAGCTTCCCCACCCCCCCTCTGCGTCACTGTGGAATCCCACAGGTCTAGTCGCTCCAGCGCAGTCCAACTGAGCAACCTGCTCCATGCCAGCATCAGTCACACCGGGTGGCACAGCCAAGATCTTCAGCTTGGTCAGTGAGAGGAGGTGCGGCAGCCCATCGTCTTTCACCCCAATGGAGCCCAGGTGAAGACCCTCAAGATGCACCAGCTTCCCTACGTGCACCATGCCGGCACTTGTGACAACCTGCAGCCGACCAGGTCTAGGAGCGTGAGGGACGAGAGGGCTGCCACATGCGGAAAAGCAGCATCCGTGACACTGGTGCCCACGAGGCTGAGAATGTGAAGCCTGCTGCTGAGCACCCCAATTCCGTGCAAGGCATCGTCTGAGATGGGCGTGTTGCGCATGTCCAGCCACCGCAGCTGGGGCAGCCTGTACAGCTGCTTGATGCCCTCTGCGGTGAACCCCGAGGAGCCATCAAGGCCGATAGACTCCACCTGAGTCATGGAAGAGATTTTCCCAAGGGCTGCATCTGAGAGGCACGAGATGTTCTTCACGTCCAACGAGGTGCGAGCTGGTGTTGCTGAGAGGATGGTCTGAGAAGGGTTCAGAGGGAAGAACCACAGGGTTATCATCACAATCATGTTAGAACACAAGGTGGTGTTGGTTTGGACACGTGCTGACAAGACAACCAGCACCAGCACCCCAACCACAGCACCTGGAGCAGAAACATGTGGCACCCTGAGCTGAGTGCCCCAGCCATTGACACCACCATCCACGACACTCACAACAACGTACCTCCCATATCTTCTCGATGTCACGTTTCAGTTGGTCCAGTTCCGTTCTCAGGGCTGCCACCTCTCCCCTTGTGTTTGGGAACTCCTGCAGATAAAGTCACACAGAATAATGAGCGAGCTTCTTGCAGTACAAGAGCATTCCCTAAATGCGTCTGCCTTGCTTCCTTGCAGCAACCGGCTCAAGCACCCAGATTCAAGCATTGCTTACCAGCTCACGGTCTGTGAGAGTCCCCTCCAGCACCAGCAGATGATCCTTGTGTTTTGCCACATCCGCCTTCACGCCCACCAGCTCCTCCACAACCCTTTCTTCCCTCCCCTCAGCTTCCTCCACCTTCTTCCTGGTTGCTTCGAGCTGCGCAGCAAGCGCTGTCACTGTCGTCTCCAGGGCCTCTTGCCTCTTGTGCCATTCACCGCTTTACCCTAAACTCGGCCGTCGATGGCTTTTACTCGCAAACTCCCTGTTTGCGGGATGGGAATACACCGGGGAATGATGATTGTTTTAAAGCATAGTAATACACAAAAATGTAGACAAAGCAAACTCCCTGTTTGCGGGATGGGAATACACCGGGGAATGAAGATTTATATCCAAAGCAACAAAAAAGACAGAAATTCATGAGCAAAAAAAATGTATGCTCAGGCAAGGATGCAAGACTGTAGTGATGGAGGAGCGAAACATGTCAGAATATTATTCTTATGTTCTAGCCTGTAGTGGTGCTCTATAGCGAGTACAACCCTTCTAGGGTTTGCTATTTGTATCCCCATTTCTGCTAGTTCATTCCTCTTTCTTTCTTCTAACTTTTGTCAAAACATGCACAGGCACCAAGCGAATGACACTAGAATGGGTATGGGGTACGCATAGAGGAGCAGTCGGTCATGAGGAGGGAGGAGCTCCAGAGGACGAACGCCATGAGCAGCCGTTGACTGCCGCATCCTCTTCAGACGCGCGGGCCATGGAGGGCTCAGATTGAGATCTCGAAGCACGAGGAAGGAATCTGAAGCGCATGGGAGGAGGACGGAACCTGAGATACATGGGAGGAGGAAGTGGGGAAAAAGCCAGAGGGAGGAGTGTGAAATAAGGTAAACAGGAATGAAATGACTATGGAAGATTGGGTACAAATACAACCCTAGAAA